TATATATATATATGTATGTATACACACACACACAATTTCCCAGCAACACTATTTAAAAATGTCAAGTTATGGAAAAAATCTAAGAAGCTCGTGACAGTTTAGTGGATAAAGATGTAGTATAGATATATAATAAAATACTACTCTATGATAAAGAGATGGATTCTCACTCTTTTTGACAACATGGATGGAAATGGAGGGTATTATGTTAAGTGAAATAAATCAGTAGAACAATAATACTAAGTTTCACTACTATATAGAATGTAAAGAACAAAGTTAAGGGACAGAAAAACTCAACCAAAACAAACCCTAGAAATATGAATGCCCAACTCACATACAGGGGTCAGGACTACTCTAACGGTCTTTGGTGGATTATGGGTTCTTTGGTATGGGCATGGCAATATGCATCTGAAAAAGTATGAACTTATTCTCCTAATGCATGCATAATGTTGCAAACCAATGTCATCTCAGTTAAAAAAAAAATACAGCAAGAATAAAGTTACCATAAAAAAGAAACTTACCACATAGTTCTTCTGTGTCAAGATTGCTGAAAAGATTAAAAAAAAAAAGGATTATTTTGGTATTTTTTTAACATTAAAATACTAATGCCTACATTCATATTGTATCAATAGAGCAGATGTAGTTATGGTAATTCTTTAATAACACCTACATTGTTTACCTACTAATAATGATCATGTCAGCTTCTGTCTCTGAATTCTTGGAATTTATGTTCCCTGTAGTTTCATGATCAGAAAATGGTGCATAAAGGGAAGAATGTTGGCTCTGGAGTCAGACAGATGGGGTCCCAATCCTGATTTTACCATTTACTACCTGTGTAACCCTTAATACTTTGTCTCTGTCTCAGTACCTCATCAGCAAGACAGATGCTTTGTTTCATAAGAATAACAAATGATTCAAGAGAATATGCACAGAAAGCAATTTCAAGAGTAACTGACACAAAGTAGACACAATAAACTTCGCTATCAGGATTCATTAAAACTTGGTAAAACTTTCTTCAAACATCTAAATTCAACCTTTGAGGTAATTTGACTCAATATTTACTTCAACTGATTTCAAACAAGTGAAAGAATTATGTTGCTCGAAACTGTACATTCATATAATAAATACCTATTCATTTCATGAAGATAAATACCACAGGCACTGTGAGCTGAGAAAACTGCTTTGATCAATGCCGGCATGGTTCAGGGATGCCAGAGTGTTTCAGTACCAGGAAGTAGAATGAGCACATTACAAAGTACAAGAGGTCCTATTAACAAAAAATAAAAATTCAAAGTCTTCCTTATTTTAAAAAGTTTAAATGAAATTGGAATGGAAGTAAACCACTTAGAGATGAAGACACCTACAAATCAATTGTGTCTATCAGTTAATGGACCACCTTTGACTTTGCACAGTTGTCATGCCTCAAGCTTCAATGCTAATAAATATACTAATTTAGTTTTCTTGTAAGTATCAGTCAGGGCTGGTAGGCAGGTGGAACATTAGTGTAAACTTTCTCAGTACACACTTTTTACCAGCTCAATCAGTAACTGCTATGGAATTATACACTCAGGATTTACTCTAAGACACTGAATATTTAATCACTTCTTTTGCTCTTTTGGTGTGTGTTCATTTATTCCCCTTACAAACACTCATTTCTTCATGTCAGGTGTTGTTCTAATTGCCATCATACAACATATCAGGGTGTTAAAAGACACAGAGATGCTATCCCAGATCAATAATGCATAGTAGGTCAATTTAGAGGGAGAGTCAAACAGGAAAAAAAAATTGTGACTGTTACTGAAAAACCACCAGCCTATACTTTCCACACGTCTCCTGGTTACATTCAAGAATACTTTTGTTTATTATTTTTTAAAAAGGTTTCTGTACACTATGGATCTTAGCAAGAATCTTTAAATTCTGTGATCTAGGTAACATTCGACTGAATTTCCTTATTCATCTCCCACCAATCTGATTATTTCCACTGCCAGAAAGTTTTTTCAGTTGGCAAACCAATCTGCTAAACACTATTAAATTTCTCAACAGCCTGCAGGAGTTCACTTTGGCTTACAAAGATATTTACTTCCCGAAGTATTTGAGGCAAAGAGAAATGACTCAAATCACTTAGTTACTTCCTGGTAGAAGTAATATAGTGATGCCCACATTGATTTATTAACAGATTAACAGGCTGGCTAAGTAACAAATGTGCTCTGTTACCAATGTGGTTTTCATTTTACAAAGTAAAATGCTCTCAATTCAGGAAAGAGAATGAAAAGAGGATGTTTTCCATGATCATCTGGGCAACTGTTTTATTTTTGATACACCAAACATCACTAATGAAAATCAGCAAAACAGTATGGAAGATTAGGATGATGAAATACTGGATCTTGCAAATATTCTGCATGGTATTAAACTCCATGAACTCCACCAAGTGGCTGGTTAACTGCAGAAACAGGGAAGATTGTGGGGAAGGCTATGACCTAGAACTTGATGTGATTGGTCAAATGCTGCAAGTACAAGTGAAACGGAGGTGAGCTATCTGAATTAGAATGCAACCTAGAGGACTATAAAATGCAATAGTCACCACAGGGTTACCAGGAATAGATTTTACCCAAAGATCACAACAAGCAGGAGCCAGTTCAAGTCCTGAGCTCATGCCCAAACATAAGGACCAAGCAGGAACTGATCCTTGCTTGTAGAAGAAACAAGGATAGATATCTCCCCGGAGCCTTTGACCCAGCTAAAAATTTTCAATTTCTGGCTTCCAGAACTCTGAAAGGTTAAATTCCTATGGTTTAAACTACCCATTTGTGGTAGTTTCTTAGCGCAGCACTAGGGGAAAAAAAGCAGTCATCTACACAAAATTCTACCATTTTGTTCTGTGTCATTTCAGTATCCTATTAATATTCAGCTGACAAAGTCGTTCAAAAGTTGGAAGTTACTATTTTAATCCAGTAAATCGATTTTTAGGAATTAAATAAATTAAAGTTTATTGTATGCTACAAAGTTAAATACTGAGAAAAATTAAAATTATTAATTCATAGTTAAATAGCAACAACTTGCACAGAGTATCAGGCATATATATGTCAGGTAGCATTGAGGTGTTTACCCAGTATGTCACAGCTAATTGACTTAATTCTTGGGAGTTGATTTGGGATCAACAAATGGGGATACTGAAAATCATAGAAATAACAAGTAACACAAAATATGCATAGTAACTTTAAGGGCCATGGAAAAATCATTTGAACTCTAAGCCAAAGCAGTGTATTTCCATATTTTTCAAAATGTGACATTAGACTCCTTCCATTTCACTTTCCTCCAATGAACTCTGTCACCCAACAAGGGAATTATATCTACTCGTATATACAAGTACTAGACAGAACAATTATTACAAGGCAAGGACCTGATTAATGTTTATCCTACAGACTGCCATCAATCATTGAAGGATCCAGTAAGAAAATAGTATTTATAATTGAATCTCATAGAAGAATAAAATACTTACAAGGCAATTTAACCAAGAATATTAAAAGTCTTTACTGGAATTTAAAAATATGGATGAAAATACTGAAGACAAATGGAAAAGTATTTCACGATCATGGGTTAGAAGAATATTGTTGAACTGTATCAGAACAACCTAAAGATTCAATCCAAACCCTATCAAATTCAATCCATTACCTATCAGTGGCAATTTTTACAGAAATAAAAGAAACATAAAATTTATTTGGAACCACAAAAGAGTCCACATAGCCACCCAATCCTAAAAAATGCTGAAGGGGGCTCTTCCCGGTGGCGCAATGGGTTATTGCACCACATTATGAAGCTCTCTGAAGCCACTGCAGCAGAAGTTTGACTGCCGGCCAGGCAGTTGACCCACATGGTGTGGCAGACCTCTTCTGACCAGCCCACTGCTGTCCTCAGCAGTGTACTTTGTCGATCTGCCTGTTATGCTCCCCACTCTGTCTCTGGTGAATCCTCCCACTCACCACACCTCCTGCCTGTACCCCAGTTATGTAAGCATAAATAAAAATAAATCTAAAAAAAAAAGCTGAAAGAATAAGTACATGATTTTAAACTATGTCACAAAGCAATAAACAAAACAAAAACAGACATAGACCAATGGAACAGAAATAAAGCCACAGATATATGGTCAATTTATGATAGGAGTCAAGAATATAATAGGAAAAGATTAATTCCTTCAATAGTATTGGGAAGACTGGCCAGCCATCTGCAGAACAGTATGCACCTATCTTATACATCTTGATGTAATATACACCATAGCAACTCTCGTTAGCATATTGCTGTGTATACTTGAAAGTTGCTGAGAGTGAATCTTAATAGTTCTCATCAGAGATGTGAGATGATTAAATGTTAGACTTATTGTGGTTTATGTCTATGCTATATACATACATTAAATCATTCTGTTATGTACCTTGGTCTAATACATGCTATATGTCAAGCATCTCTCCATAAAACTAGAAAAAATAAGTTATAAGATATAGGGATGAAAAAACCCATTGAGGAAGAGCAACTGGCAAGAAACCTAATAGGGATGGCTAGAGGAAGCCAAGGGAGTGGTGTACAGAAGCAGAAAATTTCAAGATTTCACTATGCTGAAAAGACATTATGAAGAGGAACCATCACAATTCATATTTAGTGTGAACTGGCAATGCTGGAGGCAATGCTGGCCCTTTCCTGAAATTGGGGGCCCAGGCAGTGCAGGCAGAAGTGACCATGACTCTGGAGAAATGTGGTGTGAAAGCAAGAAATCAGGCAGGACTTACGAGAAATGCAGCATTCATTGTAAGGAAGGCAGAACGTTGAACGAACTATTTTGGAGGCTAAGAAGAAAGAGGAGGAAATAGATGAAGAGACACCCCTGAAGCACAGGGGTAGCCTTGTAAGGGAGAGGACTGGGAGGGGACATTTCTTACTAGTCTAAAATAAAGGTAGAGATTTCTAAATGTGGCCTGAGCATCTCAACCACCTGGAGAATTTTTAAAATACACATTGTTGGGACAAACGTAGAGACTGGCTTAGCTCAGGTTTTCTATAACAAGACATCAAGGTGATTTTGGTAACCAACCTCTCCTCTTCAGTACTCCAATACTATCATATAAGGAAGTACTACTCAGCAATCAAAAATAAACTCATGTCATTTACAGCAGCATGGATGGAGCTGAGAGGGATTATGCTCAGTGAAATAACTCAGAAGGAAAAAAAAATCAGAGGATTTCACTTACAGGAGGGATACAGGGGTCAGAAAAAAAAAAAAAAAAACACGGTCCTAGTAGACAAACTATACACATAGCAGGGGAGGGAAGAAACCAGGAACTATGATAGTTCACGGTTGATTTGGTGGTGGTGGTGGGAGGGAGGAGGGAAGCCATTCTACAGGGATTATACCTGAAGGGAGAAGTCAAGCATTATACAACAATGAATGACATAAAAGAATATAAAAAAGAAAAAAGCTGAAGCTTATTAGAAATATAACAATTTGCAACCAAGATCTGTTGCCATCTAAGTGGAAGCCTGCCATTATTCTAACTATAT